TGTAGAAAAAGTCCAGCAGGAACTCATTAGCGTAATAGGCCATACCCAACAGCAGGAACTCATTAGCATATTAGGCCACACCCATGACAGCACAGCTCATTAGCATATTAGGCCACACCCCAGTGTTACCAGAAGTGTGGTCATCCAGCCACACCCACCTTTTGCTTCTTATTCTGTTTACCTTGTTTGTTGTCAAAACCCAGGGCCTTTTTTTGTAGCAGGAACTCCTTTGCATGTTAGGCCACACACCCCTAATGTGGCCAATCCTAATGAGTTCCTGCTGTTGGGTGTGGCCTATTATGCTAATGAGTTCCTGCAGGGTGTGGCCAATTTGGGAGCCAGCCAGAACTCCGTTCCTGTGCGTTCCTGCCCAAAAATAGCCCTGGGAGAAAGTTTATATAACCTTGTTCCCGATTCAGGAATCCTGAACTGGCTTTCTTTCTGTGAACATTAGTGAAGCGTGGCCTAAAGTCCAGCCATTCTCAAGGTCCATCTTCCACCTTAGCAAGAAGTATGGCGTCCTCTGTAGAAAGTAGAGAGCTCTAAGATATTTCCTCAGAAGATTTTGTTTAATATGATTCTTCCTCGTGGGGGGGGGGGATCGTGGACCATACTCTCCATTTCATTTCCCCACACGAGAACAGAAATGAGAAGTAGAACAAGTGAATGACCTCTAGTGAAGGACTACTACTAACCTCCCCTGATCTCTGTCCATTTTAAATGCAGCTTCAGGAAAATGAAAAGTATAATACTGTGGTACCCATTTTTATTATGAAATTTGATTTACAAATGTAATCTCAGTATACGAAAAATTACTCTTCAATGAAGAGAGATCCTGTCACTGTAAAGTATCTAGATCAGGGGTGTCAAACATGTGGCCTGGGGGCCGGATGAGGCCTCCAGAGGGCTTCTATCACACCTGCAGTGGAACTGGCTGTCTTCTGCTTCTTCTTCCAGTTTTGTTGCTGCTGCGTCATTAGGGCTGCCAAGTGGAGGTGGGGGGCGGGTAAACCCCCGCTTTGGAGGCCCGATTTCTGCCGCCGTGGAATCGGGCCCCGGGGGGAACTCCGCCCCCCGAAGGGCAGCGTGGCTATAGTTTTCCCTCCGACGATCGGGGCCAAGCCCCCGTGATCAACGTCGCACGTCACTTCCGAGATGTGCTGGCGGCGCACGCTTTGCGCGCGCATCACACACACATCAGAGGAGAGCTCCCAGAGCCCTGTGACGCTCCCCCGCCAGTAAGAAGATTCGACTTGGCAACCCTATGCGTTATTATAGGTTTGCAGCTTACAGATACACACCTGAACAGCATACTCAAGATTGCAACAGCACAGACATTTTGATGCAATAATTCAGAGCAAGAGGAGTCAGTTATCAGACACTGTTAAGCATATTTTTATTTTAAGTAAAAAAGCGCCCTTTGTGTTTGTGTCCTTTGTAAAGTTTATATCTCCGCTACCTGGCGTTACATTTTATGACACACATGGCCCGGCCCAGCAAGATCTCATTTATGTCAGATCCGGCCCTCATAACAAATGAGTTTGACACCCCTGATCTAGATCTATCCAGAACCAGTTTGGTGTAGTGGTTAAGACCGCGGACTCTAATCTGGAAGAACCAGGTTTGATTGCCATGGGCAGCTGCTGGTGTGACCTTGGGTCAGTCATAAGTTTTTTCAGATCTGTTCTCTCAAGGGCAGTTCTCGAGAGAGCTCTTTCAGCCCCACCTATCTCACAGGGTGTCTTTTATTGGGAGGGGGATTGTAAGCCACTCTGAGACTCCTTCAGGTAGTGAAGAGCAGGGTATAAATCCAATCTCATCCTCCTCCTATCTCTGTTTATCAAAGTTCAGAAATTGCACTATTTGGGGAAAAAACAAAATGTGGGTCTCTCTGCTCTTCTCTCTCTTTATTTTGCACCTTTTCCATAACTTCAGCTATTTCTGCTGTTTTTAAGATATGCTGAAGCCATTCCTTGGTAGAAAGAGGAGACAGACCAAGAAGGCTGTTTTGTAGCCATTTGAATCTTCTACCGTTGATGACAAAATTCAAAGTAGTTCATGATATTTCTCGTTCTGTGACTGAGGCATCCAAGTGAGATCTCCTTAGTAATTGTGATGCCCCCTTCATTTGTACAGCTCCTTGTACAGGCCACACAGGTTGGCTAGGAGTTGAATGAGCTGTGTGGAGGTGCCTTGGGGCTTGTGGGTCTCAGCCCCTGCCCATCGCATGCTGAAACTCCCTCAGGAGTCTATCCCAAGGAACAAGACGATTCTGCATCGACCTGGCTCATAGGCTCTATGGGTCTGCCCTCCAGTTTGCATGGTGGAGAGCTGCTACTTAGGCTTGCCAGTCCCCAGGTTGGGGTGGGGTCCCCCCAGTTTTGGGGGCTTCAGCCACCCCCAAACAGCCACGTTCCCGCGTGACTTCCCTGACGTGATGATATCACCATGCCTGGGACATCGCACAGGGATGCTTTGGCTTAAGGGCAAAACTCTATGGTTTTAAGCCAGTTTTACCATAGAGTTTTGCCCTCAAACTAGAGTGCTCCCATGCAAGATCCCTGGTGTGCTGATGTCACTTCCGGGTGACATCATTACGTTGGGAATGTCCTGGAATGCCCCCCAAATCCCCCGGAATGCCCCCCAAATCCCCCTGCTGCAGCAACGAGAGGACCTGGCAACCCTATTGCTACTCCTTCTCCTCTCCATCATGCACACAACACCGTGGATGAGACAGGATCTCCATGGAGGCTGGTACACAATGCCCAGAATCACATACTGCTTCATTATGCATGGTGGGGAAGTGCTGTCAACTTGCAGCTGACTCTTGGTGACCCACAGGGCTTTCAAGGCAAGAGACGTTCAGAGGTGGATTGCCATTGCACGCCTCTGCGTAGCATCCCCGGACTTCCTTGGTGGTCTCCCATCCAAGTACTAACCGGGGCCGACCCTGCTTAGCTTCTGAGGTCTGATGAGATTGGGCTCGCCTGGGCCCTCCAGGTCAGGGCATGATAGAAAGGAGCACATTTCTAATCTGTCCAATTGAACACAGTGGTCTGGTTAGGGTGTTAGCTGGGCCTCCCATCTTCCCTGTGCTTCAGGTAGGAACAAGCCTCCCCCCCACCTCTGCTCTTGAATGACCCCAATTGCTCCCAAACCCATCCAAGCGCCGTCTGTTACTGGGATTGCGCTTTACGACGAAAGATGCTGAATGCAGACACCTAAACCACAGCCTCACAAGCAGGGAATGTTAATATTAAGTACTTTAATTGTAAGCTGTGTTCAAAAAAATTATGAAACGTTTTTTAATCAGAGCATTTCCTTTTAACAATAAGCCTGGGAATCATATTTGGTCTCCTTGGCTTGTTGGAGCCAGGGCAGTAATTTTCTGCCAGCGCCAGGTGGAGGAAAAGTCGAAGGGCAACGTGTTTTAATTACAGCCTCAAGCTCTGCCCTTAAATTACTGTCTTGGCTTCAAAATAAATAGCCATAGCTTGACATTTCCACACCTGAGGTAGTTTAGAAGAAGAGGAGATTGGATTAATACCCTGCCCTTCACTACCTGAAGGAACATAAGAACATAAGAACATAAGAACATAAGAGATGCCAATGTTGGATCAGGCCAAAGGCCCATCCAGTCCAACACTCTGTATCACACAGTGGCCAGAAATATCAGGTGCCATCAGGAGGTCCAGCAGTGGGGCCAGGACATTAGAAGCCCTCCCACTGTTGACCCCCCCAAGCACCAAGATGACAGAGCATCACTTGCCTCAGAGTCCCTATCTATACCTTGTGGCTAATAGCCACTGATGGATCTCTGCTCCATATGCTTATCTAATTCCCTTTTGAAGCCATCCATGCTTGTAGCCGCCAAGTCTCAAGGAGTCTCAGAGCGGCTCACAAACTCCTTTCCCTTCCCCTCCCCACAACAGACACCCTGTGAGTAGGTGGGGCTGAGAGAGCTCCTTCCAGAACTGTCCTTGAGAGAACAGCTCTGACAGAACTATGGCTTGCCCAAGGTCACACCAGCAGCTGCAAGTGGAGGAGTGGGGGAATCAAACCCGGTTCTCCAAGATTAGAGTCCGCGCACTTAACCACTACACCAAACTGGTTCCATGTTAGTCTACAGGAGAACTAGATTTGAGTCCCAGCAGCACCTTAGACACCAACAAGATTTTCGGGGTATAAGAGAGTCAAAGCGGCCTTCGTCCCACTTCTATCTGATGAAGGAAGCTTTGACTCTTGAAACCCTTATGCCCTGAAAATCTTGTCAGTTTTTAAGGTGCTGCTGGCCTTTGAATCACATTTGAGGTGAATAGTCGAAATGATACACACAGAAATAAACGTCTCTGGGTTGGATTGCTGGGACCTTCCCCCCCTTGCTGGAGGTTTTTCTGAGCATCTGGCATCAGAGGAAGACTCTCTCCCCCAGAGGAAAGGGAGTTTGCTAGCAAAAGAGATCTACGGGGTCCAACTGTCTCTTTGGGCCTCTGTTGTTCTGATGAGAGGTAATCATGGAGACCGGAAGCATCAAAATGGCTCCCTCCCCTATGGAAACTGGTGGTGAGGGGAAGTGCCGTCAAGTCGCAGCTGACTTATCGTGACCCTGTTGGGTTTTCAAGGTGGGAGGCATTCAGAGGGGGTCTGCCATTGTCTGGCTCTGCATAGCGACCCTGGCCTTCCTTGGTGGTCTCCCATCCAAACACTAACCAGGGTCAACCCTGCTTAGCTTCCAAAAGCTGATTAGATCGGGCCAGCCTGGGCCATCCGAGTCAGGGCAGGCGAAGCCACCATCTGGTTTAAGTGCGAGCTTACTGAGGAAAAGAATGGTGCCTTTCACAACACCAGGAAGTTGAATTCCTTTCCCCTTCCTCCATCAAACGACACCACCTGGCATCCGAGGCGAATCTGTTGGCTCGAGGAAACCGTGAAAACCGTCCTGATCCAGCTGTTGATGACCCTGAAAACATGACCTTTGTCTTTCTTTCCCTTACCGGCAGCTGCTTCTGTGCCAATGCCTTCTTACCCAAGCTCGGCCTCCGGGAGTTCCTCCAGCAGCTCTTCCACGTCCCATTTGGCATCTCCCCCCGTAAGTATAACAGCATCGCTTGGTGGTACTTTCCCCACCGCTAGAGTTTCTCGTTGGGATTTCTAATGACCGGTGGTAACGCCTTCCATCTTGCCGCTCACTGTTCTGCCAGTGGCCCCCTAGTTTTCTACTTAGGATGGTTCTTTCAGGGGCACAGCAGTAGTGAGAAGGTGGGAGGCTAGAGGTGGTTGATGGCACTTTCTTCCTCTCAGTAGAACTGGGGAGGGGCCGTGGCTCAGTGGTAGAGCATCTGCTTGGCACGCAGAAGGTCCCAGGTTCATCCCCCACCAGTGTTCCCTCTAAGCTGAGTTAGTGTGAGCCAGCTCACAGTTTTTTAGCCACCGGCTCACACATTTTTGCCTTAGCTCAGGAAGGAGGGCTCCAGAGCAAACTGATTTATGCAGTAGCCAAATGGCTTGCTCACAACTTTAATGCCAGCAGCTCACAAAGTAGCATTTCTGCTCACAGGACTCCACAGCTCAGAGGGAACATTGTCCCCCACCATCTCCAGTTAAGGATTAGGCAGAAGGTAGGGTTGCCAGCTCCGGGTAGGGAAATATCTGGAGATTTTGGGGGGTGGAGCCTGAGGAGGGCAGGGTTGGGGAGGGATTTCAATGGGGTATAATGCCTAGAACCAAACCGGCCATTTCCTCCAGGCGAACTGCTCTCTGTTGCCTTGAGATTACTTGTAACAAGAAGGGGGACCCGCGATACTTGTGTGTGGGGGGGAGCTCCACGTGGAGGAGGAAGCAGCCGTAGGTAAGCCTTCTCCCCCCCCCCCTCTCCGCACCAACAGCGAGGCCTGTGTGGCTCCCGCCGGGCCTGCTAAGCTTTCTCTCCCACCCCACCCGGCACCAATGGCGAGGCCCGTGGGGCTCCCAGCCATCGGGTCTGCCAAGCTTTATCTCTCCCCCCACGGCAGTGGTGGCGAGGCCTGAGCAGCCAGCCCGCCAAGGCTTCTCCTGCCCCCCCCCCCAGTGGTGGCTGTAGCGGCGGCGAAGCAGTTCTCAGAGCGTTCTCTGCACGTGTGCAGGGAACGCTCTTTTACTTTTGGGGGGATTTAAGTATCCCCCCTATAGTTTTGTATAGATTTCAGAGTTTTCTGCACATCTGGGGATTGCCCCAAATGTGCAGGAAAATCTCTCTGCCTCCCAGGTGCCCCCGATGTGCGGATTTAGATATCCGCACGCAGGGGGTGCCTTGGCTATTAGTATATAGATAGCAGGAGATCTCCAGACAGCACCTGAAGGTTGACAAACCTAGTAGTCAGTGATGTGAATGACCTCCGCTTGAGACCTTGGAGAGCCATTGCCAATCTGAGTAGTCAATACTGACTTTGATGGACCAATGGTCTGATTCAGTATAAGGGAGTTTCATATGTTCATATATGTGAGGCAGAATGCTGGACTAGATGGAGACTAATCTGATCCAGCAGGGCCCTTCTCATGTTTTTGAGAAGGCCTTGGTCTCCATGCCCTGTTGTTGGACCTCCAGAGGAACAGGTTGGCCACTGTATGAGGCAGGATGCTGGACTTGGTGGACCACTGGTCTGATCCAGCAGGGCTCTTCTTATGCTCTTAGGGTTGTATTAAGTGTGCTGGAGCTGCGTGCAGGGACCTAGACTCAACACGCCCTGGCTTTTATCTCTGGCAGTCCGATTGGGAGCCTTCCAAGGTTTCCTGAAAGAGTGAAAGCTATGCTCAGAGCTTTGAAAGCTTACTTTCAGAGGACATTGGTGAAAAAAGCTACCTTTTTGGAGACCTTTTGAAATGCCAAGGAAGGCTTGTGTAGCAGGTGAAGTGGACAAGAGGGAATTTGTAATGCTGTTGGCATCGTGGAGTGGCTTTTCTAACTGGCACTGGGCTTTGGTAACCATTGCCAGTTCAGTTCCAGAGAGTTCAAAAACATAACAGGGGCTTGTTTGCTGCCTCGGTATTTGTGGGTCACTATTCCCAGAGCAGTTATTCTGAGATAACAATCCCAAATCATGCACAGAGACCTCTGGCGTGCTCCTTGCCAGCTGTTTGGAGGTCGTTCACGAATAACTCTGGTTTTCTTTCTAAACTGCATCCACTTGGGAGAGCAAACCTGGGACTCGTGTATATTATGGGTGGCCAACTGGCTGTCAAATGCCGGATCTAACCCCAAAAGCTTCTTTATCGAGCCCCTGATAGTCTTAGCCAGTTTTAATCCTATCTTATTCCAGCACTCTAACCCCTACAAGTGAATGCAGGGTTGTCTGATTCTGTTAGTTTGCTTCTTGGGTTCCACGAACCCGTGAACAAAAGAGAGGCTCATCTTGGTGGCCATTCCCATCATTACATGGCCACTGATCATGTAACTGCGGGATCACAACCAGGGCTATTTTGGGGCACGAATGCACAGGAACAGAGTTCTGGCTGGCTCCCAAGTT